GTGACTCCGGGCACACCCTTGGCATCCTCAGAGAGCACCTCATCCTCCAGCACTGGATCATTCTTTGTCAATAGGGGCCAGTGCTTCTCTCCCCAGTTGGCCTCGGGGGCCCTCTTGTTACAGCTTTTATTCTAGGCCCCATCCCTGAGTGCACGAGAATAAAGGAGAACCTGGTGGCATTCGCCTGGGCCTGTGATGTGAGGTTTGCGGGGCAGGAGAGCCACAGGAGGGATTTCAGGTAGAGAAGAGGGAAGAGGGCTCTGGCCTGCATGGTTTGACCCTACAGGGGAGAGAGAGGAGGTGTCTCCCAGCCTCTGAGCTCTGAGATGCTCCAGAGAGCAGAAAGCCTGCATCTGCTCACATTGGTCACTAAGATTTGGGGGTTAAACCAGGGGCTCTGGACTTGGGAATCCTGTGGGAACTTTAAAAGCTACAGACGCCCACGTTCCACGCCCAGTTTCTCATCTGTCTGGGGTGAGGCCTGGGCCTTCAAAAGCTTCCCCAGATGACTTCAATGTACAGCGCGGGCCAAGAACTCCCGACTTACTGGATTTGTGACCCTTAGCCAGGGACCTCTGGGCTTCAGCTACAAAATGGCCTTAAGAGATCTCACAGGGGTATCGTGAGGATTCGCTAACAGATGTAACCATATGAGTAACATGTATTGAGGTTAGTTGTGAAGCAGATATCTGGGAAGGGCTCTGCATCACTCTAATCTAGACAACATTCCTGCACGATAAGAGAGACTCTTACATAATGAGTAGGAACATGAGCTCTGCAGCCAGATTGCCTGGGTGTGAACCCAGCGTGATTTATTAGCTGTGTGTTCTTGGGTACATCACCTAATCTCTCTGTTCTCTAGGTTTCCTCTTCTCTAATATGGGAAATAACGGTACTTACCACCCAGGGCTGTTGTTGTTACTGTGAGGATCAAATAAGGCATCCCATCTCCTTCCCGGGCACATTTGGCGTGTCCTGAAACATTTTTGGTTGTGAGAACTGGCAAGAATGCTACTGGCACTTAGTGGGTAGAGACTGGGGATCCTGCTAAACATGCTGCAGTGTAAACTCTACAAAAGAATGATTCAGCCCACCCTCCACAGTGTAGCCCTGGAATACCATGATGTTTGTAAAGGCCTCGCCAAGCACCTGGCACATAGTAAAGACTCAATAAATGTTCACCGACACTGTCGAGGTTCTCTCTGCCTCTAAGTCATAAACAGGGTGGCCTGACCCAAGGCATGGCACCTCTGACTCCAGGAAGCTGAGCCTGGCAGCCTCGGGGCACAGAATTAACAGGGTGCCCACTTGGGTGCCAGGTCCTATGCTGTCAGCTTTACCCGTGTCCTCTCCCATGACCCCTCATCAACCTATGAGGTGTCCTGCTATTATTAGTGCCATTTTTGTTGTTGTTAATCCTCACCCGAGGATATTTTTCCATTGATTTTTAGGGAGAGGGGAAGAGAGGGAAAGACAGAGAGAAACATCGATGTGAAACAAACACATTGATTGGTTGCCTCCTGCACGAGCCCTGACCAGGGCCTGGGCTGGGGAGGAAACTGCAACCGAGGTACGTGCACTTGATCGGATTCAAGCCCGGGACCCTTTGGTCCGCAGGCTGACGCTCTATCCACTGAGCCAAACCAGCTAGGGCTATTAGTGCCATTTTAGAGAGGAAACTGAGGTGCAGGGAGGTTTCCTAGTCACCAAGTTATAAGTCGATTGTAGTTAAACAGAGGCCTATCTGCTCTTAAGGTACAGAACAGTGGCAGTGTGTGCAGGCTACCATTTTTTTTTTCAGAAAAAGCAGAGGTGTGTGCTGGTTTATGTATAACTCACTCTCTACATGGGAAATAAAGTGAATTGGCAACAATGGTTGTCTCGCCCCCTCGCTGGTGTGGCTGCTGGTTGAGTGTCCTACCATGTACCGAAAGATCACCTGTTCAATTCCCAGTCGAGGTGTGTAGGGAGGTAACCAATGTTTCTCTCTTACATTGATGTTTCCCTCTCCCCCTCTTCCTTTCTCTCTCTCTAAAGTCAATAAAAAAAAAATGCTATAAAACCCTAATATGCAAATTGACCAAACGTTGGAACGACCAGTCACTATAATGCACACTGACCACCAGAAGGCAGATGCTCAATGCAGGAACTGCCCCCTGGTGGTCAGTGCGCTCCCACAGCAGGAGCGCAGCTCAGCCAAAAGCCGGGCTCATGATTGGTGAACACAGTGGCGGGAGCCTCTCCCACCTCTGTGGCAGCGCTAGGGAGCAGCAAGATGAGGAGTAAGGAGCAGTGAGCAAGTGGGCGGTAAGGAGTGAGGGGTCCCAGACTGGGAGAGGGATCCTAGACTGCGAGAGGGATGTCTGACTGCTGGCTTCAGACATCCCCCAAGGGGTCCCGGACTGCGAGTGGGCACAGGCTGGGCTGAAAGACACCCCCCCCCCTCCAGTGCACAAATTTCGTGCTCTGGGCCTCTGGAGTGTGTGTGTGTCTATTTTTTTAAAAATATATTTTATTGATTTTTTACAGAGAAACGGGAGAGGGATAGAGAGTTAGAAACATCGATGAGAGAGAAACATCGATCAGCTGCCTCCTGCACACTCGCTACTGGGGATGTGCCCACAACCAAGGTACATGCCCTTGACCGGAATCGAACCTGGGCCCCTTGAGTCCGCAGGCTGATGCTCTTTCCACTGAGCCAAACCAGTTAGGGCTGTGTGTGTATATTTTAAAGTCATTGTCTCTGGGGAGACTCAGGAACCTGGGAATAGGGGAGGGAAAAATTTCACTGTGTATCTGGAATCATGTGAATGTATTATCTACTCAAAATATTAATAAAATTGAAATTAAAGAGACTGTGTTCTTAACTACTAGCATTTCCATAAATTGCCTGGATTTAAAAGTACCTGGAGTTAAAAATACAGTATCAGACACCCCTAGGGATGGGCTTGGGTATCTGCATTTTACAAGCCAATCTGGTGATTCTTGAGTTCAGGCAAGTTTAGGGGAAAAAACTCAAGACTACCGTCATAGAAATTATTCCAGCAGGATCCCAGGTCTCTGCAGAAGCAGGGAGGTGGATCTCTTAGGAAGATGCATGGAAGGTGCCTTCGTCTTCTCTGGGGAGCAGTGGAAGGTTTCAAACAGTGGCCCCTGCCCCGTCCTAATCATCCCAGGCCAACCAGGGTGGGTCCTGGTGCACGTGCTGCAGGAGGAAGGCAAGAAACTGCCACAGGAGAGAGGACGGCCCCCTTCCCCATTCAGCCCACAAAGCTGCTGTTGGCCAAGTTCAAGTCTGCACAGGACAAGGACTAGGGCCACACTTCCCCCCAACCAATCTTCACTTTAGTCAGAGCACTTTGTATTTATAAAACCACTTTCGGAGACAGACAGAGCCCTCAAATGCAAAGACCCACGGAGGCCAGGCAAGTAGCATAGATGAAGCTGGCCTGGTGTCAGAAAAGAGGGAGGAGTGGAGACTGTGGCTAACATATGTCCTGAGGAAGAAGATGGCTGC